GAGAAAAACTGGATTTAAAAAAAGGTAGATAGAAGTCGGGAGAGTGGTACTTGTTGCTTTTAACTCCTGCATGCCAAAAAGAGGGAAAAAAAGAGAAACAGCAAATATTAATTAGTCATTTGGGATAATTAGTCATTTAGTATAACCATCAGTGACTCATGCACAGCCACAGCTAAGTGCCTAGAATCAACACTGAAATCACACAGGGCAGGAATCTGCTGCCGCTGCACAGGGTTGGCGCTACATGTATTTGCGCAGAGGCCTCAATAATGAGGCTGCAGCTACATCTCCAATATGCTTTAAAGTTTCAGCCCTATATAGTCCAACAGGATGACATGACACTTCCCTGAACTGTCAGACAATATTTACTATACTGAACACTTATTTACATTTTTTGTAAATAATGTAAGTTACATTAAGTTTCAGCATGCAACCCAGGAGTCTGTTGTGCAAAACTGATCAAAGTGGAGTATATAGAACTATATTTAAATGCAAATTTTTAACAAACATCTGGGCTTGAACCCATTGTATTAGATCTATTTTAATCTGGTAAATATTATGTCTTCTTTTCATTTAGGAAAATTCAAACTCCGGGATGGACGATACATTTTAACAGACTTTACCCTTTTAATATTGTCACATAGTGTTCTTATAAGACAAGTCACAACAAGAGAATCAAAGTGACTTTTACTGAAGAGTTCTGCTGTGACAGGCACTTGCTGCAGTTACCAAATTCAAGTTGTTAACTGCAGCAAGTTATGGCTTATGATTCAGTCTGATCTGATCTGTCCTGGTTGCCTGGCCTTGGCACAGACGGTGGATAACTCCACTCCAGAAGTAACTCTGAGGGGGGTCTGGCCACTCGTGTATCTCACTGTCTTATCGTGCATCATTATGCCTGGGAGTCTATCACACTGCCTGCAGCCTGAGTAAACATTAAGTTAGGCCATAATATCAATATAAAGTCCACAATAACATGAAGTGTGATGATGAAGCATAAAGCACCAAAAGGCACCATGATGCGTGATAATGGAATCCAAATGAATACTTACACAAAACTATAAGGATTTTGCATCACATAGACGGAAAAGGTGCCCAAAATATCATTTATGGCCTGCTGTTTCCACGTTTGTCCTTTAGGGATAAAGGGATGAATGTTTTATTTGCCTTGTAACAATCACCACATGGCGTTTTTACAATACGCCTGTCTCCTAGACTTTGAGAATGAACACAGGCTGCGTAATCATCACTGAGGCTTTTCTCTTGAAACTTCAATAAAACCCTGTGGGCCATAAAGTCTACAGTGATTACGGAAAGCTCAGCTGATTTGTCAGGACATTTTAACGTGATGTCAACACTTGAATCGCACCATTTGCTGCCACTGTTTTACAGCCTCCTGGTTAATGGCGAGCGAGGCTCCTCTCTGGATCATGTCAGTAGCTTTTACTGTGATACTGTGGCAGCACTCACACAAATAATGACACCCAAGCATCACCAAAGTGTTCCCTTCAGACCCAGCTCCTGCAGATTGTTCTGGGAGGTTAATGTAGGACAAGACCTCTTCAGACAATGCAGGCTGCAGGACCTCAACATGGGAGAGGGAAACAGCACAAAGACATACACATGGATAGAACTATCATTTTAAATACAACCTGAAGGACAGTCACGACATATATTGCTATTGTCATTGTAAAAAAAAACTTACAGATTGGGGATTTTTCACATACTCATTTGGTCTCTTGGGTTTCAGAAAATTCTACCATCATTGGCTTGAAAACAGAGGGAAAACCTTTTTGGATAACTGCCAAAACACATAGTGGTTAAAGCCAAGTTAAAATGGAGCTGCTTAGCTCCTGAATGGTTGCTCCTTTTTAGAGATTGAAAACTGTCATGTGACTAATGATTTGTCTCTACAGCTGCGACTGCATGAGGACTTGCTATTTATAAATAACAGACCAAAAATGAATTATACAGTTTCTCCTTAAATCAAGCAACATCCTTTTTTTTCACCCTATTCTTTTACTAACATGGGCCTGAAATACAATCTCTCCCTATCTCTCTCTCTCACACACACACACACACCCACACACACACACACACACACACACACACACACACACACACACACACACACACACAGACGCACACACACACCCACACTTGCACACTGTTAAAACTCCTCCATACATTTTCTTGCAGTCTTGATGTCACTGTAAGGTTCCTGGATAACCAACGGATAATCCACTCACTAAGCTAAGCTAACCGACTGCTGCCTATAACTCGTAAGTATGAGCCAATTTACATGTAGGCACAAATAAATGAATATATTATACTCTACATACTGATGAGGAAAGTGCATTATAAACCTTTGTTAGAGTAACGTGCACCTACAAGCCTGTTTAAAACCTCAGCTCGAAGTATTTTCATTTAAGCACAAAGTGTTAGTGGTTACTCTGACCCATTGTTGCACATCTCTACCTTTTAATGATGCAAATAAAACACAAAATAATCTCAAAATAACATAAATCAATACTGTCCTCTCACTCAACAGCTTCTTTTCTAAAATTCCTTGAATCCTATTTGCTAGTGTGGAGCTGTTCAGTCCTTCATTTGCTTATGGCTTTGTGAGTTACTGCAATAAACCCTGAATACCAGCAGGCAACAGGATATCCTGCTGAGAAATGTGGCAGGGATAACAGCTGCCGCTGATTTCTCTGAGCTCGCTCGATCATGTCCGATGGCACTAAAGCTTATAGAGGACTGTCACAGAGCAGAGTGGGGCCATTTTACACTCCTATCTGATGGGAAAAAGGTTGAGACCATCAGAGCAGCGCTGAGAGCTGCTGTACTGACAGACCGTGGCCAGACAAAAGTGAATCTATCTGCGCCTGAGCTCTCCTCTCAATGGGAAGTCTTTGACATCTCCAGCCAGCTGTGCTGCGGGGGAGAGCTTCTTCCATCATGTTTATCGACTGGGAACTGTCCCGTAATTGAAAAGAGCTGGAATGGAGACTTTCACTTTGACTCCCTCTTCATGAATAACTCATCAATAGCTTTATGAATAACTAATCAATGATTCTAAGTCAAAGATCAGACACGCATCCTTGCAGAATTTAGTTGGAGGAAAACACTGCAGACTTTGCCTCTTAAAGACTGAAAATATGACTGACTGTAAATATCGCCTTATCATCTGTCCACACTACGGACGGAAACATACAGTATCCGCATGTAATGGCATCACATGAGGTAGCGAGTGCCTTTGTGGGGGAAACCCAAACCACAGCTAGGCTTTATGACTTAGATGAGCTCAGAATGACCTTGCGCTAAATACTACTTTGTCATCATAAAATCATAAAGGCTGGTGAGTGTGCAGAGCAGAGAAACAACAGACTGATAGTGATGCTTAATTACTTTTAGGAAAGTGGACCATTTCTGCATGGTAAATAATTGGCACACCACACACATACACACACAGACGCACGTTGAATAGATTAGCATTACAATAATAGTTATACAGAGTATTTCCCTGGTGTGAATGTGTGTCTTGAATGTTAAGCAGAGGTACTGTCATAAAAGGAGCGTATCCCAAAAATCCCTCCAAATCCTTCCTGCATAAATAAAAGACAGAATGGTTTCACTCTTTAATAAAGTATACTTTGAGAACGTATTCATGCTTTATTAAAGACATTAATAAAGACAATGTTTGATTAGAATCAATTAAGATGTTTACATTCATGATTATATCCATATAACTTGGCTCTGTGAAAGTTCTACAGTACATGGGTGCAGGGAAACTTCAACAAATCTATTTATTAATGAAATAAATGGATAAAGTATTAATAAATGAATGATTGAGGTTCCCTGATAGCTCACCTGGTAGAGCTGACTCATCCTATGTAGTCCTTGCTCCAGCAGCCATGGGTATGAGTCTGAGCTGTGGCCCTCTGCTGCATGTAATCTCCTTTCTCTCTTTCTCTTCCCTTTCCTGTCTATCTTGAGCTGTCCAGCCCCCCCCCCACATTTTTTTAAAAAATAAATAAAGGAATTATTAACTCAACTAAGACTGAATGTGAGCAGCTCTGTGAGGTTGTTGTAGTGCTTTGAGCTGAACGCTAACATTCTAACATTATTAACACGCTGATGTTCAGTGTCTTGATAGCATTTAGTTTAGGCAGCTAGGATTCTAACATTTGCTAATTAACAGTAAACTCGACCAATGTGCAGCTGAGAGTGTTAGTTTTGCAGCTATTAGGTCATAAATCAATGTATTGGACAAACTGAAATGTGGTGGTGAAGGTGTGCAGTGTACTCTGAGCCTGGATGGCAGCCAGGATGAGCCATTATCATTACCAAACAGCTGCTGTCCCATGAAAACCTTGCAAATCCAGTCAGTTTCTTTGTGATCATTTGACATGATTTTGCATATCCCATGAGCAGGTAATTCAGATGTCATGACCTTTGAAAACTTGGTGAGACATCCATTAAAAATTTACGGGCGCAATTTTGAAATTGTTTGGCTGTCAGCAAGTCCTGAAAAGCGGACTTATTAGAGATGCGCGGCTTTTGTATGAAACGTAGAGCTGGAGCAAAGCGCAACACAGTGGAAAGAGTCAAGAGTTTGATTATGGCAAACAATGACTTATTAATGCATGCCTAAAGGCTGCGGGATCTGACTGCAACATCCGCAGAATTTACGAACAGTTTATGATGATTCAGAAAGGAGCAGACTCCCACAGCTACGCTTTGTGGAGGCCAAATAAAAATCAACATGTTCATCACTGTATAGGAAAGTTATTGCTAAAATTGCCATTGGCCTACATATGCCAATAAAGCCAATATACACAAATAAGTTTGCAATAATACATATAAAATTTGACATTTTCACAGGTTGGACTTTTGGGAAGGAGGACATTTATTACATTTAACACACTTAAACACGGACAGGACAAAAGACAAACAATCCATGCAGAAATAACTCAGGTAACATTTTGCTGGTTGAATATTTTCTTCAGTGGCATTTAATAAATATACTTTACAGTACATAGGTAACATATATTCAGCACGTACACGTAGTTAAAGGTATCATTAACAGTAACTGCATATGGACACTCTGGATCCATAGAATAAGTCTCTTGCCACATTACAGATGAATGAGTCCTGTTGCATTTACACAGTCGTTACCTTTGTCCAAGAAAGGATACTAAGACCGGTGAGCTGCAGTGACACAATTATTGGTTTACATGGCAACATTTTGACCTTTAACTGTCACCTGAGGTACTCTAATGAAGAGCAACAATGAAAAAACCAATAGGGCAGGAACAATCCAGTTAGCAGGGTTCTCTATTTCATTGTCTCACCATAATGCCATAAAACTGATCTACATGTGAGCAGTCCATATCTCAGCACGCCTCAGTAAGAAGCTACAGTGCCACCACGTGGTCATGGTTCAATGAAAGATATGCCCTGCCTTGCTCATACTGCGTGGGAGAAAGGTCTGTACGAGACAGATACTGAACAGATCCATGAATACATGCTGTGACCATGTGGCAAATAATGACAACTTCAGACTGACAGCTGATTGAAAGGGTTAGAATTTTAAAGCCATGCTCTCCCTAAAGTGAGAATAAAAGTGAACTGACACAGAAACGATGTGTGTTGCAGCGACAGACGCTGCTGTCAGTCGTTGATCGATTCTCAGAAAATGGCATGAAAAGATCATTATAAAAACGTTCAAAGTAAAACAATAGAGACTCACTAATAATGGTAATGACACAATAAATGTGACACTAAAACAAATTGTGGAAAAACACTGGGGAGGTTTAAACATTGAGAAGTAACAGCTATTGTTGTTTTGGGTGCAAAAGTGCAAAAAGACTTTGCGTTACAAAGTAGCATTAAATGAAGACCATCTTCAGGTCTTGGCCTCAACTCAAACCCAGCGTTGTGCTTCCACATTTACAGACATGCACACAGCACAATTCCTATGATACAACCAGTGATACAACAAGTAAGTACAGTTTTACAGCCATTGAGCAGAAGGATCATGATTATTGAGATAATGGGTTATAAGGGTGTCTTTTATTGCTGCCCCTGGCTGTGACCATTAAAGCTGTAGTTCCTATTACAGGGCTTCAATAATGATCCCATCTCTACTTGACACTTGAGTGTTTGTTCTGTTATCTGCCTATACGTATTAACTGACAGCTCCGGAAAGGGGTGCCTTGCTTTAGGAACGTCCCAATTAAAGCTTACACTGTGGTTTTTATCAGTAATTGAAATAATCTGAAGTCCTAAAAAGTGATGAAGTTTGAACCTGTGCCATCGGGTCTCAAACTATTTCCAGTGAGTTTGCCCTGCTCTTCCTCATCATTGTCACATACATATTGTGCAGCTACAGCAGTGCTCACTTCATTACTACAAACATACATTTACCTGTTACATGTTGCCATAATTTCAAAAGAAATATTTATATATACATACATTTGTACTCCTTGGGAGCAGTAACTCGCTGAGTATCACATTACTACAGTTATTCTGTTACAACCCCACGCTGGCTAAATGCATAAAGCAGATATGCAATCAAACAAACACACATGTTGTTGATCAACTATGTGAATAATCATGGAAAGAAAATAGTGGTGACATCCAATGTTCCTTTCAGCTTTTTAAAAAGACTTTGATCTAAGTGGGTTAGGGGTAGGAGATGGAGGTTGTTTCTCAATAATTCAACTTAAAACTGACATTTAAAAAGGCATACAATAAATACTTCACCTGGATACTGATATTCCCGAAAATTGAAAATAAATTTCTTTCCCTTGTTATTTAAAAAAGTGATATTAGTGAAATAAATGAATAAGTAATTTGCTATCACATAACATTTACAGAGAATATAGTGTATAGTGTATGTACTGATCTCAGCTGATACCACTTTAAAGTCTTTGTTATTCAAACATGTATTTTCCCAAAAAAGAAATATATTTGATTAAAAGGATTACTGGATGGAGTCTAGACTTTGAATAACTCTTTGAATCATGAGTCATCATCCTGCTTCATCCCTGCTGGTCTCAATTATGTGTATGTCCGTGGTAGGACGGTATATGGATCTTATAGTGGTGTAGTAGAGTAGTTTGTAGTATTACTAGCACTAACCTAACAGACAGATCCATACAGTTTATGAAAAATGCTTTCTCCTCATGCTAACAAACTTTTAAGTCACCCTTGAGCAAGACATGAACTCTAAATCTCTCCACTAGAGCCGGTCAGTGGCTTGCAGGAGATATTAGATTTCTGAATGTATTATAACTGTACACATGTAGCAGGGTTGTGCTGAAAATAAGCATGCTCAGAACAACCCTTGCCTGGACTAATACACTTTAAAAAAAAAGTCAAACTGCTTGTTGGCTTTCCCAGCTGCACCTCTGACGTGTAGGAGGAGCCTCTGCTTGAGGAGTTGGAGCACGCTGCAAACAATGCATGGCGAGAAGAAAACATTTCCCTTCGGTGGTGCTGTGTTGGGGGTTAGTCCAGGGGAACCTCCAACACAGTGGGTAACATGAAGGCTGTGGCCTGCTTAGATTCCTTCATCTTGTCCAGGCCGAAGAGGAGGTCCAGCTGGGTGACCGGCCGCAACCGCTCCTCGTCCACAGGTCTACAGAGGTCAGACACAGGCAAAAAAAATAGCTGTGTCCCAATTCCACACTGTTTTTCAGTATTAACTATGACAACTCCCACCCTTGGATTCATAATGTACAATTGTACACCTGTTCTAGGCTGACTATACATGTGTTTGCTGTACGTCCTGGTCCATTTTATGATGAAAAGAGACTGGTAAAAGAAGTAAAGGCTGCAAATCAGTCAGTGTTTTTGTTTCCCTTAGAAGGAAATTAAACACTTGTGCTGTTGGACATTAATCCAATTTTAGAACGCCACTGCCACTTAAACTTTACAAAGAAACGGCAAAATCCTTTTCCAACACATCTTATATTTTGGGTTGTTGTTTTCACCTCCACTCAAGAGTTCAATTTTTTTCCCATCTGTGAGCAGCTCCTTCATTTCCTGCACTGCATTATGGGAGAAAAGTGTATATCAGCAGCCCACCAGATAATCAAGTTAATTGTAGTGTGCATATGGCTTTGAGTAAACTTAAATTTGTCACTTTTGGAGTGTGAACACACTACACACTCAGCTTAGCTTCAAATTATTTTCTTCTGTTTATTTCAGCAGCTTTACTTTAATGACTCTGCTGCTGGAATGAAGTGCACTGATTACAGAGAACTACAGTACGGCTGCATGTTTATAGAGCCTTTAGCAATGTTTTCTGCTTCCTTATAATCATTTGAAACAACATGCTGATGCCTGGAATCATAACTGTGGAAAGCTTAGCTATGAGTTTAGGGTTTAGAGTGCTGAAAAGTTCAAAATATTTCTTCTTTTAGCAATAATGCCCTCCTCTGAGAGGGGTTTCAATAGTCGCTTAGCAACAGCTGAAGCATGGGTTACACAGATCAGATATTTAGCCTTTTATAAAATATAAGATGTTTTTAAAATCAACCAGATCCAGCTCTGATACGGTCCAGTTTAATGACATACAGGACTTTGTGAAGCTCATCATCACTCCAGTGGTCAATGGACCATGCCGCATTGCCTAAATACTGCTTCAAAATAAAGTTGGATTGGATTGGATTGGATTCAAAAGCTTGAATGTTTTGTAAAGAAAACTGAAAAGAATGGTTACTTTGTGGGAGTATTTAGTAAAATATAAAGTTAGAAAGACAACCAGTACATCACTCAAAATAATACTGCCATCGGCTTTCACAAACCCACAGTGATCTAACCTCAAACTGTTTCGGGCAGGTGCTGTAGTTAAACAAAGAGATGCTCGGGGGACAAAAGGCTATGAAATCTTGTGGGTGTTTGTATGTGAGTCATACTTTTCCTCCTCCTGGCAGTCCTGTAGCTGCTGAGCGATCTGCCTCATCTGCTCCTTGCGGACGTAGTCCCGGACTCGGTACATGGCAGCATCACGGCAAAGCTCCCGGAGGTCACTGCCAGAGTAACCCTCTGTCTTCTCAGCAATCTCCTTCAGATTAATGGCATTGCTCAGCTGAGAGGAAAAGCAGGACAGTAATAAGTGACAATTAGATAGGATTAATCTGTTTGCTGTCAGTGCTCTTTGGCTGTTCACTTTAATGGGATTTGACAGTGAAAATACAGGTGTGAAACAACAAAAGAGAGCATTGTTCAGAATACATCACAGACAATTAACAGAAATCACATCTTACGTTTTCTCCAGCTAAAATCAGCCTTAAGATGTCCTGTCTTTGTCTTGTGCTCTGAAAAGATAGAAGGACAGATGTTCTTATTTGAAATATATAGCTTATTATAGTGCAACTTATGAATACAAAAAAAATGTGTCCATCAATCAGCAACTAATCACTCGTTTATATATATATAGTTTAAATCAAGTGCCATTTTAACTGCCTGAACAAATTATACATAATCAATATGTGTAAATACATTTACATCTTGTACTGTTTTCGCTGTTAAGCATCCACAGCTCACATACATTTATATGTGACATGATGAAAGTGAATGTTTATTGTACTGGATAATAAAAATATAGCCCATGCTTTTTGTGGTTTGGCCAGCAGTCATCAGACAATCTGAGAAACACAGTTCAGTGTGTTTATGCTGTGCTCCTTTACTTCATGTGTAGTTAAATGCACTCAGTAAGACGCACCATTTCAATTACTCAATACACATTAGCTGAGTTCATAGAGTTCATTATCTGTAAATACAAGCTTATTCTGTTTTTCACTCTGTAAATGTACGTACATTTAAGATTTATTATGTATTCCAACATATTACATACTGTATCTATTAATGTGTATTCATTTAAGTCTGAAATTAAGTTTTTACATTGATAAAAACTGTTTGTGTTGGTGTATGTGTCTTACTGGCAGGCCAACATGAAAAGTGGTGGGCATCCTGCGCAGAATGGCTGGATCCACATCCTGCGGCCTGTTAGTTGCTCCCATCACCATCACCTACAATAATAAGAATCACAATGTGAACAACCACCCACTGCATTTACAATAAAAAAAACAAATAAAAGGCACCACATGGAACAAGCACTATGTCTTAGAGGCAATGATAGGTGCATTCCCAAATACTTTTCTCAATGACAGCTCTTGGTACAGTAAGTAGGATTAAGTGGCATCTAGCAGTGTAGTTGCAGATTGCAAACTACAGGGGCTGAAACTTATTGAAAACCATTAAAGGCCCTATCAAGAGCCACTGTTTGGTTTGTCTGTTCTGTAGAAACACGGCTGTTCAACATGGTGGACTCTGTAGAAAGGGACCAATCCCCTATGTAGATAAAAATGTCTCATTCTAAGGTAACGAAAACACAATGATTCTTATTTTTAGGTGATTATACACTAATGAAAACATAACAAATATTATATTCCATTTCTGCCAATAGCTCCTCCTAAATGTTACACACTGGACCTTTAAGAGCCAGGAGAGGTTGTACCCAGGGTTTACCAGTCTGACGTAACCTAGTAGGTACATTACAGTGTCAGAAAGTGTGCAGGTTGTTGTACCTGTGTGGTTGAGGAAGTATCCAGGCCGTCCCACAGGCTCATGAACTGGGCCTTCATCATGGCTGTGGCCTCATGGTCCAGACTGGAGCGGTTCCTCAGAAATGACTCTAACACACAAGAGACAAGGATCAAAAACTCATCTGCATGATAGACTGAGAACAACAGGTCGAAATCAGTTTGGGCAATTTCATGAGGATGAAATAGGATTAGGCTGATTATTGGCCTGATATTTCCCCTTTAATAAAGAATGGATTTCAGCCTGTTGAGTTTGTTCTACCTCAAAGGTGGTCTGTGAAGCACTTTGAACAGCACTAAACTGTATGAAAGGTGCTATGTAAATTAAGTTTGACTGACTGATTAATTGATCAAAGCTATACTTTTTTTGTAAGTATTATTCAGTATCAAAGTAATCCAGTGATAGTTTTCTGTATTTCCACAGACATATTGCAAACAGGAATTGCTAACAAGTCATTTGGCATACTTTTAATGGTGCCAATTTGCCAATATGTAAACAAATATAGGCTAAGTAAAAACGGGGCTCAGGTTATAGTCTATAATGTAACACTAAATCCATAAGAACATTATACTTCCTGTTAACAACCCACAAAGCATCATAGGAACTGTAGTTTGGATACTCAGACATTACTAAAGGCGCTGGAGAGACGGGGGGGTTGGAGGGAGGAAAGGGTGGGCTCAGTGCCAGGGCCTGAACCCTCCTGTTCCACTGATAGAGAGGACATTATGACTGAACTTGACAGTTTCAGTGATAGCCTGTAGAGTCTGTAGTGTTATGAAACCTGACTCACTACCCTTTTAGGAGCTGCCATCCTATAAAAGAAAATGTCATTATTCTGGTTTTCAATGCTGCTTCAGGTCCTTCTCTGATTTTGTTTTTGTATGAAAACAGTGAGAACATCAAAACAATAGCAGTATCAGCTTTTGCAAATAATCACAACAGCGCAGTAATACCATCATTAACAAGTAACCATTCTTGACATGAATCCTTTTAGAGAAGCTCACCAATCTCATCGATGAAGACGATGCAGGGTTGAAGTTTGACAGCCAATGAGAAGACGGCAGCAGTTAGCTTCTGTGATTCACCGTACCACATGTCTGTCAGCGTGGAGGCCTGAAGGTTGATAAACTTGCAGCCCGAGGCTTTGGCTGTTGCCTTAGCGATCATTGTCTTCCCACATCCCGGAGGACCAAACAATAAAACACCTGCAAAGACAAAATATGAACAGAAACTAGCCATTATTGTTTCCTGTTATGATAAAACTTCTTTTAAATTCCTGCAAATATTCCCCGTTTAAGATTTATTTATTTTTTAATTTATACAAAATAGAAATTATAGTGTGTTTAAAAAACTGCAACAGTTGGGAATTTGGCATTTACCTTTAATTAGGTATCATAAACAGCAGCCAATCAGAAACTGTTAGAAATTTGACATTCAAACTTCAGTTAAACAGCAGCCTATCAGACATGCCAAACTATAAGATAAGCAGTATTATTACTTGTTCCAGGGGAAACTATTTTGTTTGCATGTACCAGTGAGTAAAATCAAACCGTTACAGTTCTGTTTAGATGACACGCTGTGGTACCTTTGGGAGGCTGAAAGAGTTTGGATCCAGTCAAAAGGTGTCTTTTCTGAAAGGGTAGGATGACCGTGTCTTGCAGCTCATTTATAACTTCATCCAGACCGGCTATATCTCTCCAGGACACCTGCAGAAAGGTAGAGTACTGTAAACAATTCTGTCTGGGAAAATGCAATAATAAAAAAAGGGTTAAAAAGTGTCATGACACATAATGACATAAATTCAACGTCATGGATGGGCTGAGGATTACAAATGTTACCTTCATAGTTTGCGGATCAACTAGCTGAGATGCAATGTTCATCTCATACTCTGTTAGCTTGACCCCCTCAACACCAATCCTCTTCATCAGCTGTTCAGCCTGAAGACATAAGACACACATCTCAGCTGAACACACAAGAGGATAACAGATAGTGTGTAAAATGCTGCTCCGGTCATTCTTTTCATTTCCTAATCATATCCGTCACACTGACAGCAGATAACCTGGATAAATAGCTACAGTACATCCACCATGAGCTTAGATAATATAACAATAACATAAGCTTATGTTCTATATACCCTTTTCTTGGCTTGGTTTTTCTGTTTGGAGGTAGGGTCCATCGCTTCTAAAACCCATTTGATGCTGTAGTAGGTCGCTGCACCAAAGATGGTCAACCTAAGCAACATGCCCACCACTTCATTCCTGGACAAGGGCCGCATCAGGGCCTCTCTGGGGAGATCTTTCAGCAGCATCTTTGCTGGCCTACGTAAAGAAAGAAAGAGATGAATAAAGAACGAAGGCAGACAGATACAGGAAGAAAATAATGTAGTTACAGTATAATGAGTACAGTTATACTTCATGCAGGTCACCAGAGTTTGAAGATCAAGTTTGCAATTGAATTCTGTTTAGCTTTGCTCCACTCTGTGGTGTGAACTATAATAATATAACAATCACACACTGCAAATCTATTTGATTTTACTTGGCAGTACATTCCTGCATTTAAAGCAATATTTAAAGCCTGTAAATTACATTTTACCTACACCTATTGCTCCTGGCTGACCACCAAAATACACCGTGAATGGCAGTGAGTAGGTTGAACCGAAACATGAAGTTACCATTTTATTACCATAACATAGCGCATGTTGGATAAAACCTATGCCGAATTGAATAGTGGCCGGGGGAGATTATCCATAGACAGAAAATGAAGTTTTGGAGTATAAACCTTCACATCTGTACAGCAAACCATTACTTTATTACATATTCTGAATGGAGGTTTGGCGTTAAATAGCAGTTCTCCCACCCAGATGCTAACCCGTCAGTCACTTGTTCATTACACTTGCTGCTAACGGTATTTGAGCAGGTCGTTCACATACCAACACAAGGTCGCTATTTTACAGTGACAGCTGTTAGCAGCATCCACTGTTCAACACCTAACGTAGTAAGAAACCCCTTTAATTCACAGGTTAGCATCTCCAGACAGGCTAAAGCTAACACAGCTGCGACTAGGCACCAAACTGTCACTTTCCCAAAGTAGCATTTAGAAATAAACCTACGGGCTGAATTAAACATTTTACCCATAAACAAACATGTAACATCCCTCGTACGATAAAAGACAAAATAGTCCAACCTACCAGAAACGGGAAGCTACAGTAATGTCACGAAAATTCCAAAACAGCTAGCATTGAAGGTGCACCACGCTTTGTGACTCGGGTAGGAACAAACAACGTAGTTCCGGGCCCCACTTAGTCACTGAGCACGCATGTGTCATACAGCCAGCCACTGGGTGGCAGAGCTTGCACACAGATGATACACATCAGCACCATGGACAGCATCTACATCACTACAGCAGGTGGACAGGACTGGGAAGGAAGGCTGGGATGGTGAAGATGCACTTAACAGAATTTGGACTAGCAACCATTTATTGGTTTGCTGGTGATTCAGTATCCATGTGGTATCCATGTGGTACTGCAGTAAAGGTTTTAAGGGAAAGTGAGTATTCGACTGCTGGAGGTTTGTTGAAAATATTGAATACATGTTGTTTGTTTGTTTTTTTGTTTACTGTAAGAGGATAAATGCTTTGATGAAGTAAATCTCTGCCATTCTAAAATTTAGATTTAAATGTATTTTACAGCAAACAATGGATATGTGTGTGCAGCATGTAATATTGAATATACATGTAATGAATTCTTATTTTATAATGTTTTAGTATGTTTCCAAAATATGCTGAAAGTTAGACTGAATTTATGCAGATTTTTGCTTATCATGCCACAAAGTGTAAGACACACCAATATCTTTTGGAGCAGAATATCTTGCTGGGGAGGGCTGTGGATCTGTCGATTCAACTGTGATCAGGCAACAAACATCCAAGCATGTCCTGGGGTAGGTTACATGCAAATGTGGCCCAGTCTAGATGGTTCAAATCTGAAGCCCTAATCTTTGTTTCGTTTCCACTCATTTCCAGTGCGGTCCGATAATAGATAATTCAGTCTTCTCATCAGCAGCCTCAAAGATAAGGCTGGAACAAATGGACTTCTCCTGCAAGCAATTTATCACACATGGGCCAAAGGGATTGTTAATTGTCACAGATTGTGAGCTAAATTTGAAAATGCTGTTACAGCTTGTATCCAGACTGGTCTCTGCTTCAGGATTTCACCAGTGAAATACAGAGCAGCTCTGCTGAGAAGAAACAGAAGTGTAGAAGTATAAAAGAATCTACTATTCCATTTGCAGCCTTTTCCATAAGATGATTTAACGGGTTTTGGTATTTTCCCCAAGACTCTGAGCTCTTGCATCAACCTGAATGCTGCACCTCAAGCAACAATAAACAATAACATTTTCATTGTAACATTCACATCAGAGTCCACAGTAGCTGTAGCACAATCTGGCCCAGTTTACCACACTTTTCTGTGAGCATAATAATTAACTGGATTTTGAACAATGTGCTAGAAACGGGGGATTGTCTTTTCATCATTTTTTTCTTTTTTGCTGTGCAATTGCTGTTTTGGTTAAAAAGCTCCAAAGCCTTTCCCCCCTTTGTAGTCCAATTAGTTGTCAAAATTGGATGCAAAATTCAAATCCTGCACATTTCCAGCTTTAACCGTCCAGCAAAGTCCACCCTTGTTGAGGAAAATGGCACACAGACTGCTACTGTATTGCGCACACCTTTGGCTGTGAAAATGCTTCATAAAAAGCTTTAATCCTCCTGTACTGCAGCAGCGAGTCCCAGGAGATAGCAGCCTGACAGGGCCATTTTGATGGGTCTGGGCATGAAAGCGCAGGCTTGTGTATCTGCAAAGTGCAGCCGGGGCTCCCACAACGCCTTGCACCTCACCCAAACATCCACTCTCAAGCGGTGGGACCAAAAAAACACATTCAGCTCCCATGGCTGTCAACCTCAACCACGCCATAGCTGAAATAAAACTTGAAGCTATTGGTTCACAGATTTCACATGCCAAAGCTGAACTCTTTTGAGAAAACAGACTGCCAACTGATTGTTTTGCAGCAAGAGAAACAAATCCCTGTTGGTGGGTAATGCTATGTGCCATTATGTCTTATTCTATGTACTAGTCAGGTTATAACTTGGCATTTTTTGAGTGTGACTATTGAACTGTGAATATACATCTAACTTTTAACTGCATAAGTTAAACCGTTTAACACTACAATAAATGTTGGTCAAACACAGCAGTAAATTACCCTTTCAATCTCCCTACTAAGAGATATTATCTCCAGCAGGATAAGGAATGATTTGGGAGTGGATTATTTATTTGGCTGTCACCCAGAGGAACTGAGAGGATTTATTTTTGAAATTGCTGGAAGTGGACGCTCACCTGTGTATATGCACTTCTCATAATAAGTGGACTGTATTTCTGGTCCATTCTGTTGTGGTCAGGTTTTCTCTTATGCAAGAAAGACAGAGACTTATTTGAGGCTTAAAATATATGGTCCCACTTTCCAATAATAAGAAGAGGGTTTGTAAGTATATACAATAAATTATTTTAGTAATGCTGAAATGTATCAGTGAGATCTTCTAATGGACTATTTATGGTTACCAGGCAACATGACTTATGTTTTCATGAATGGTTTGTAACAGATCTATAAAGCAATTGTAAGAATGTTATTTACTGTATATTACAGATATGGCGGTCGATAGAGTGAATTTTTGAGCTGGAATGAAAATAAACCTTTTCTATGTGGATTGTACACAAATTCTGCACCATAATGACAAGCAAAGGTAGACAGAAGGCTGATTTCTTAAGCAAAGAACTTTGTAAAAGAATATTTAAACCTACTGCATGGAGTTTTTACTGGTTATGAAACAGTCAGTTCATTACTGATGTCTCTATATGACCTGGCTATCTGTCTTCGCCCAGGTCCGATCTGAAATCAATGAAGCGAGGCGGTAGTAACACTACCACTTTTGTCCACAGAGGCCACCAGATTCAACACAAAACGAAAAAGGTCCTTGTTGCTGCTGTAAGTTAAATATTCATTAACAGGGATAGCGTTTAAACAAGCGGCAACCTCTGTGGCTAGCAAATGAAGCAAACACGGAAGTAACAAAAAACTGCGCTTCCTAAATCGGCCACTTGAGGCTGGCTAAAGTGACCAGTCTTCATACAGCCCGCCCTCAGCTCCACCAACTCTCCATGTATTTGCTCGACAAACTACACGATGACACCAATTTTACAAAACCCCAAGCATCATTTTTTGCATTGTATGAAATATAATGCAAAAAATGTCAGAAAGTGGAACCAAAAATATCAGTCATAGCGTTATATTCAAAAAGAAATAAAAGTAACAGCAGGCACTAAAAACATTCAACCATTGCCCTTCCTCTAGTTTGCCACTTTGATTCCTGGTTGCCCTTTTTGGCACCTCTCAGCTGCCACATGTTCAGGGACGTAATATTAATGATTCATGTCTATTATCTGACAAATAAGCCTATCGTTGTCATTTGGCATGGACAAAAAGACAGAGGAATGAGCAGACGAGAGATGCATGAAAGAAGCGGTGTCTGGGTGAGAGTCGAAACTGCTCCACAAAGGGATTTCACATGGTGCTGAGGCTTCCTCGGGCATCCCACGCTCTTTGTTCATTCTGCCAAGGTAACTCACGCAAGTCGACAACCCGCCGACATCACCAGAGAAAGATGATTACAGCTGTAGTTACAGATTGACAGCTTTCTCCAGTCTGCTCGACTCCGCAAGCCTCACCATGGTTACAGAGACACTGACAACAGAAGAAAAAACTGCTTAAAAAAGAGAAATAATTTGTTTTCTCCTTCTCCTCCATCACATGAGACAGGTGAGGAGGCTATGCATTCTCAATAGCATATCTATCCATGCATATAGATTAGGCTGATTTCAGGCTTCTTGTTCTGAAGAGGGACTCTCTCAATGAGATGGGAATTTGTGGATGAATACAAATGTTATGAAATATTTCATGTCATTAAAACTGAATATATGATTTTTTTAATACTTATTACCACAACACATTTTTTATTGTTTTGCTGTCAAGTAGGGTCCATTGGTAATGATGTCAGCTGTAGAATTTTGTATCCGTCGTCAACATCTGCAAGGTCGACAATGGGAGCCCAATTATCCACTGAAACTAGGATTACATTGTTAAACATAATAACAGCAGCAAGAGGAAGGAAGACAAATTACAATAGTGTTGCATAATAAAACATATGATTACATTAACAGTTGTGTGAAATCAAGACACAGTCTCACATTAGAAGCAGCTGAGGTTTCCCTGAGACAACCAGTATAGAAACTCTCAGTTACTGTCATGGGGTAAAAGTTGATAAAAAAAAAAAAAAGTGAACAGAATGTAATAATAAAAGTGTTAATTTCTGGAGACTTGTCACTTTGGATGGATTGTAAACATGTTGTTCTTGGCTACATATAGCATGAAAGTCTGTTATCACCTGTCATCAGTGACAGGCGGTTGGCCCTCCTTTAAATGACATGTTTGGCTAGTGTGTTGTTGTTCGGCTCATATACGCTCAGACTTGCTGTGCAGATCTTCAGCTGAATGTCATAATCACTCAGACATGAAAAGGGTAACGCTCATGCAACATGGTTTTTGACATTTAATTGGCTCAGCTTACAGTGATTGACTGGACAGATTTATTGAATGTTCACTGTTTTTAGTGTTTTCTGAGGCAATTCAGCCTGCATCATATGTACAAAAGGTCAGAGGTCAGTTGTTCCACGTATACTTCCTGTCATTACCCTGGCATAGTAAGTGATATTTGTAACTATCGTCATTAAATGCAACAGCATTATAGTGACAGCTTGAAATGATCAACATGCTGAAATACAATCTGACATTTGTGAACTTTCAACTCAACATTCAACTCACTTTTCAAACTCTCTGCTCCTTGTTTCACCTCTGACAGCGGTGATATATTCATTTAAATGACTCCAGGTCTTCAGTCTGACTATAGATTCAGTTGAATGTGAGAGGAGAGCATTTGCATGTGTATTTCTGAGTATTTTGCTGTTTTGATGAGGCCCATGATTTAAAATCATTGTGACTTTGTACACTGTTCATTCTACTGTTATTGATATTTCAACCATGAGGGAGAAATTTTCGAGTTAAAGAATTTGCTTTGTTGTCGAGAGTTAAATGAAAGGATCGATACCACTCTCATACCTGTACCATATCAAGCTAGAGCTTAGCTTAGCATAAAGACTGATAGTAGG